GAGCAGGCTGTGTTTGGTTGTGTTCCCAGTGGTCCCCAGGGCCGAATGGGAATGTAAGGAGATGCTGTTGAGCTGGCCAGGGACAGGCCCCCCCAAGCGAGGCACGCAGGCAGGCACTCCTGACAAGAATAAGCCCCCCCCACACAAGGGCGAAAGCCTCCTCCTATTGGAGAGATGACACTGGTGAGGTCTGGGGACAGCTCCGAGGGCTGGGGAAGGTCAGCGTTGCCCCCCCACAGGGGTATGAGCAGACCTGGCTACTTATCCTGTGGGGCCCCCCCCAAAGTGAAAGTACGGGCCCCTTGTTAAAATCTTATGAAGCCCCCCCCGGGTGTGGTGGCACGTGCCTGTAATCCCAGCATTTTGGGACCCCCCCGTAGGAGGAACACTTGAGCCCAGGAGTTCAAGACCAGCCTGGGCAACATAGTGAGAGCCTGTCTTTACAAAAAATAAAAAATTAGGTCAGGCACAGTAGCACGTGCCTGTAGTCCCAGCTACTCAGGAGGCCGACCCCCCCGGATCGCTTGATCCCAGGAAGCAGAGGTTGCAGTGAGCCACCCCCCCACCACTGCACTCCAGCCTGGGTGACAGAGCAAGACCCTGTCCCCCCCAAATTAATAAAATAAATAAAAAATTAGCGGGCGTGGTGGTCCCCCCCTGTGAGTTCCAGCTACTAGGGAGGCTGAGGTGGGAGGATACCCCCCCCCCAGGAGGTAGAGGCTGCAGTGAGCCAAGAACATGCCACCCCCCCCCAGCCTGGGTGATAGAGCAAGACCCTGTCTCAAAAAAGACCCCCCCCTATTTATGGTGGCAACAGAGTTTTAAACCAAATGCAAGGCCCCCCCCAGCACCGGGCCCTGTGCTGCTGACTGCCCAGGTCAAGGTGCCCCCCCATCCAGTATGAAGGGTCTCCAACCTACTTCATAAAAGGCCACCAGAAGGATGAGTCCAGATGAAGGCCAGGGGAAACAAAACAGACACCCCCCCCTCAGACTCCTTGAGGAGTCTTTGCATTTTAAAAAATATTCCCCCCCAATAAAGAGTCTCCATTAACAGCATGTTTCTAACTTTTAAACAGACCCCCACATCTCTGGAACCATATAACAAAGGTGACAATTTTACCCCCCCAGTTATGCATAGCACATTTTATGTGCCTCAGCGACCTAAGCCCCCCCTGTAGGTCCTTCAAGGACAATAAAAAAGTAAGTATTGTAGCCCCCCCGATTTGTATGTATTTATATTTCGCCACCAAATGTCAATATTTCTTTTTTAAAAATTCATCCCTCCCACCATCCCTCTTATCTGTTCACCCCCCCTGGACATTTCACATCCCTAGTCTAGGCCAGTTTTTAATTTCCCCCCCTTTCATTTTTGAGACAGGGTCTTGCTCTGTTGCCCAGGCTCCCCCCCAGCAGCTCAATCTCGGCTCATTGCAACCTCTACCTCCCAGCCCCCCCCGACCATCCCACCTCAGCCTCTCGAGTAGCCTGGTCTACACCCCCCCACTGCCATTAGCCCAGCTACTTTTTGAAATGCTTGTAAATCCCCCCCCTCCTTATATTGTCCAGGCTGGTCTTGAACTCCGGGGCTCCCCCCCCCCTCCAGCCTTGGCCTCCTAAGATGTTAGGATTACTACCACGCCTGGCTCCAGGCCAGTTGTGTTTGTCACCTGACACTGTGTCCTCTTTCAGTTTGGAGACCACAACGCCACAGGGTTGTTGGGTTAGTGTCCCCCCCCCGACCACACATTTACCCGGCCCCCCAAGCCCCACCCCACCCCCCCCCCCAGTCAGTTGGTATTATACACGTATTAGAACTTTCTCTGACCCCCCCGCTCACAAAAAAGTAAAGATCCGAGAGCTTCCAGAGGGGGCCCCCCCAAACTGAGGGCAGGCGCAGAAGCTAGTGCCAAGGTGAGAGCCCCAGCTGCCGTTCCTCTGCTCTCCCGCATTTCCAGTGCCTCCTCACCCTTGTGTCAGCTTCCTGCCCGCGGGGTTGGGTGGGGATCACCCCTCCCCCCCGGGATGGGCGCCGGCTTCATCTGCAGGGATTATCAGGCCTCCCCCCCCTGGCTCCAGCAGCCACAGCCTTCAGGGCCTGACCTCCCCCCCCCCCCACCTGTGACCTCAGAGAGCAGGGGCTGTCACTCTGGGTACCCCCCCTGGTGTTTTCTCTCCTCTGTGGGGTTTTCTGGAGCTCTTGCCCCCCCGAGATACTGACCATCCCCTAAAATGTGGAGACTCTGCCCAGTGGAATGATCTGTCTGCCAGCGGTCAAGCCAAAGAAACCTTTGCTCCCCCCCCCTGTGGGTCCATGGAGCTCCTCAGCTCCAGATGGAGCCGTTGCCTGCCCTGAGGACGTTATGCCACAGCCCGTCGCCCAGGGGACAGCCCCCCCGAGAGCCTGGGAGGAGCAGTGAACCCACAAAGCAAGAAATCCCCCCCCCCCCACGCCAGCCCCGCTTGCAGAGCCTAACTGGAACAGCCCCCCCGCAGGGACGCAGCAAGCCCTCAGGTGGTCCCTGCCACCTGCCAACGCCCCTGCAGGGTGGAGCTGCTGAGCCGGAGCAGAGCCCAGGCCCCCCCAGCTTTCCGAGGCACAGGGAAAGAAAGGCCCTGTCCTCCACCCCCCCACCAGAAATGAGGCTTGCTTCACCTGCTCTTCCTGCTGACCCCCCCCAGCCGACTCAGTAGCCTCCCTCTGTCCTGGAGGGGCCGGACCCCCCCGCGGTCACAGACGCATCCCCCAGCCCAACCCTCAGCCTCCCCCCCCCCCCACCCCTGCTCCGCACCCAGTCTGTGGGGCCACAGCGCCCCCCCCGAGGCAGCCTGGGACAGGAAGAGGCCTGACCAGGGACAGTCCCCCCCGGAGGACCAGAAATCAGGGCCCGGGGGCTGAGTGCCTGACCCCCCCCCCTGCCACACTGGCAGCAAAGGCGGTGGCAGGGAGCACAGCCCCCCCGGCAGCCGGCGCCCAGGGCAGGCCTCGTGCCCTTGTGGCCCCCCCCCCTGAATCTGCCAGCTGTGGGGCCTGTTCGTGCCAAGTCTGCCCTGGCTCCGTCTGGTCGTAATCGATGCTGGCGCCAGGCCAGGCCCCCTGCCAGCTCCGGTCACACTCGGCTAACGCAAGAGGCCCAGCCCATCCCCCCCTTGCCAAGGCCCATTGTCTGGGTCCCTGCCCAGTGGTTTACCCCCCCCAGGGCTGGCCGGGCCAGGGCTGGGAGGTGACAGCGGGGTCCCCCCCTGGGGCAGTGGAGTGGGGGTGGGGAGGGCTGGGGAGGCTTCCCCCCCAGGAGGGGGCTGAGAGCAGGAGTGGGGCAGGAAGGATGGTCCCCCCCAGAGCCCAAGGGCAGCCCACGCTGTGAGGGTTTTTTGTGGCCCCCCCGTGTGTGTGTGTGTGTGTGTGTGTGTGTGTTTTGCTACATCCCCCCCTCCCTGTATAGGCAGATGCACCTCCAGAGGCCCACCCGGTCCCCCCCGGGTGAGAGAGGGCACAGGAGAAACAAGACCTTCACTCCCCCCCCCCCTGCCTTCAAAGCCCCTTAAATAATTTTTACATGACCTCCCCCCCCCTATGTAAGTTGGCATTTGAAATTTTCCATCACAAATTTGTCCCCCCCCAAAGGATATCCTTTTAAGCACTTTATGAATATTTTTTCACTTTCTATATGCCTTTATTAAATTTTATAGTCAAGAAAATTCAAAGACCCCCCCATATTGACATTTTCAAACAAAAATTGTATCTTTCTTGTAACCCCCCCGTGGAATCTGAATGTCAGAGCAATTCTGTGTCCAACATTACCCCCCCAAAAAAATAGGAGAACAAACTCTAATTAAACAGCTTAGAACCCCCCCTTATTCTGTTCTCTCCAAGAACTTGTATTTCCATTGTACTCCTGTTACAGATTTTATGCTAATGTAAGGTTTTTTATTTTTATTTTTCCCCCCCTTTTGCTGTGTCGCTCATGCTAGAGTGCAGTGGTGTCATCCTGATTCACTGCAGCCTCGACCTCCTGGGCTCAGGTGATTCCCCCACCCCCCCCTTCTGAGCAGCTGGAACTATAGGCCTGTACCACTATGCTGCCCCCCCTTTTGTATTGCTTGTAGAAACACAGTTTCACCATATTGCCCAGGCTGGTTTGGTCTCCAATTCCTAGGCTCAAATGATCCGCCCACCTCGGCCTCCTGAAGTGTTGAGATTACAGGTGTGAGCCACAGCACCCACCCCCCCTTTATTTTTTATGCTTGAAAATCTTTTATTGGCTAGGCATCCCCCCCCACGCCTGTAATCCCAGCACTTTGGGAGGCCGAGGTGGGCCCCCCCCAGGGTCAAGAGATCAAGACCATCCTGGCCAACATGGTGAACCCCCCCCTCCACTAAAAATTCAAAAATTAGCTAGGCGTAGTGGCACCCCCCCCTAGTCCCAGCTACTCAGGAAGCTGAGGCAGGAGAATCGCTCCCCCCCAGGAGGCAGAGATTGCAGTGAGCCGAAATTGCGCCACTGCCCCCCCCCCCGGGTGACAGAGTGAGACTCTGTCTCAAAAAAAAAAAACCCCCCCCTGTTCCCAAAGCTGAGCATTAATTTTTGTCATGATTTTGCCCCCCCAATAGTTTATACCCAATTGATCAGAGCAATGTAAATAATTCCCCCCCTTGATAAACAACTATTAAACATAAAAGGTAAAGGTAAATTCCCCCCCGAAATGCATCTCTTTTTTTTTTTTTTTTGAGATGGAGTTGCCCCCCCGGCTGGAGTGCAATACACCATCTCCGCTCTCCGCAACCTCCCCCCCCCAGGTTCAAGCGATTCTCCTGCCTCAGCCTCCCCAGTAGCCCCCCCCATAGTTGTGTGCCACCACGTCCGGCTAATTTTGTATTTTTCCCCCCCACGGGGCTTCTCCATGTTGGTCAGGCTGGTCTCGAACTCTCCCCCCCAGTTGATCTGCTTGCCTTGGCCTCCCAAAGTGCTGGGATTCCCCCCCTGAGCCACCGCGCCCAGCTGGAAATGCATCTCTTAATAAACCCCCCCGGGGCTGAGACAGGTTTCCTTCTCAATTAGTGTATGTATATGTGGATGACTTATTGCTAGACCTACACAAGGTTCAACATGAATTTTCCCCCCCTGTTTAGTTTTTTGTAGGTTTAAACATGGAGAAACACCGTCCCCCCCAATAAATAAATGGAAGCCAATGAGTTATGAGAATGTCATTCAATTCTTTGAACTTCTTCCAAGTTATATGCCTAATAACATTATTATCCCCCCCTTTTTTATGATCCGCCGACAATTTGATTAGTGCCTCTTTCAATTTTGCTGAAAGCAGAGCTGGAAGCCACTTGACTTGCAGAAAGACCCCCCCCCTCTGTCACTTGACCCCCAGGAGTCACTTTGTTTGATGACTTGGAGATTTCTACCCCTAGGGCAGTGCCCCAGAGTGGGGGGTCCCACCCCCCCGAGGGGCAGCTTTCTCTTGTAAGTCTGTCTTCCCCAGCAACCCCCCCAGAGGATGCCTTGTCTTAGATGCCTTTTTAGGAAGATTGCTTTTAGGAAAAAGAGCATAGAAAAACTGAGGATCAGAAAATGGATTCCCCCCCCACTATCTTGATTCACAAACTCCTTTGGGCACCCCTGGTGGTATGTCACAATCTTATGAGTAAGAGACTGGAAATGTACCTGGGGGCCCCCCCCCAAGTTTTGACTCCTGTGCTAGGAGTGAGCTAAAAAATGGACCCCCCCCAAATACGTAGATGCCTGTGGCCAATATTCCAGTTCTTCACCCCCCCCAGAATGCCCTGGCAGTGCTAACCTCCCTTTAGTCCAGGCCTCCTCAAGCTCAGACCTGCAACTTCTTCATTCTTACTGGGTATTGACCCCCCCCTGAACTGAAGGAAGAAAGTGACTGGAGGCTGGAAGAGACCCGGTTCGGCAGAGTTAGAAACATGTCTATCTCAGGGTTCTAGGCAACCCCCCCCCACATAATCAGCAACAGATGGACAGGCAGCACCTCCAAACCCCCCCGTCCTTGTCAATCATATTTATGTGTGATTGTCAATCCATACCCCCCCTGTATTGAGATTTACTTTAGATTTTTTTTCTTTTTTCTTTCCCCCCCATAGAGTCTTGCTCTGTTGCCCAGGCTGGGTGCAGTGGCGCCCCCCCGGCTCCCTGCAACTTCTGCCTCCCGGGTTCAAGTGATGCTCCCCCCCCAGCCTCCCAAGTAGCTGGGACTACAGGCATGCACCACCACCCCCCCATAACTTTTGGTAGAGACAGGGTTTCACCACATTGGCCAGCCCCCCCTCGAACTCCTGACCTCAAGTGATCCATGCACCTCAGCCTCCCAAAGTGCTGGGATTACAGGTGTGAGCCACCATGCCCAGCCTGTATCCCCCCCTCTTAATAGATTATCTTGTAAACCTTTTTTGTAGCCCATTCCCCCCCACTCAAGAGCTTTCATTCAAGGTCGTTTTTAAAGCCCCAGCCCCCCCGTGAAAGGGCGGTAATGGATGTCACTGACCTCTGTTCTGGCCCCCCCAAAAGCATGTGATCTTCCAGTGTTTACTAAGATTATGTGCCCCCCCCTGTGCTGGGCCCTAAGACTGTAAAAAGACACAATCTTTTGTTGTATCACAATGTGAGTGTAGTTAATACTACTGACCTGGACTCTTACCCCCCCTGAAGGTGGTAAATCTTATGTGTTTTTGTCCAGAATGTTTCCCCCCCTTTTTTTTAAGACACCATCTCTGCCCTTAAGGAGGTTGTACCCCCCCGGAGGAAACAGAGAATCCACTAATTCATTTACCTGGGAACCCCCCCCTAATAGAGTGCCAATCATATTCTAGACTGGTGCAGGTGCTCCCCCCCAGCCTATAAGCAAACCAGGCACAATCAGCCTCTTATGGAGCTTACTGTCCGTGGCCAGGTAGGAAATGTGCACCTGCCCTGCCCGGTCCCCCCCCTAAAATTAAATTAATTATGATTAAATACAATTTAACATAGTCTCTGCAGCCACAGTTTAAGTGCTCAGAAGCCACAGGCAGCTAGTCCCCCCCTAGAGGACACCACAGCTAGAGAAGTTTTCCAACACTGCAGCCCCCCCTTAGCATGGTCAGTGTGCAGACGGATAAGCCAGATCGTCACCCCCCCGGCCTTGCCAGTCTCTCCAGTGCCTTTGTGCCAGTTTCAAAAGGTTTTCTCTCTGGGCAGGTGCAACTCCTTGCCAAGGATGAAGCTTGTGGAGCAGGATATGGTTCCGGGCCTAAGAGAAGTCAAGGTGTAGAGAACAGGAGACGCAGATCACCACGTGGTCACCAGGTCCCTGGAGTAACCCCCCCCAGACTCTGAAGCTGTCTGATCTCATCTCCCACGACACACTCCCACAGTGCACCACGTGCGCTGCTCATGCTGTTCTCCCAGTCTTGCCCCCCCTCCCATCTCTGCGCCTCCCAAATTCCCCTCAAGGCCCAGGTGAAATTCCAACTTTTTCCTCCTCAAAGCCTTCCCTGAACCGTTTGTCCCCCCCACTGACATTTACTGAGCATAGTATTTGTACTACAGTATTTCCCCCCCTGGTGGGAGTCTGGTGAGGCTGCAAGATGAAAAGGCCCTTCCCCCCCCAATGTGGGTGGTTCTAACTCCCTGTCCTAAATTTGGGCCTTCACAGCCAAGTACACGCATCGCCAGTGCACATCCCCCAGGTGAAGCCCCCCCCTAGAACTCTGCACACTTCCCCTTCACACCCCACGACTTCCCCCCCCCAGTGCCTTACATATCTTTGTCCCCACTTTTTTCCTCACTCCCCCCCACCCAAAAAGGATTCTTTGAAGGATTCTTGCCTCAATGATCCCCCCCGAGAAGTAATGAGACCAACTCTTACCAGCTGACAATGACTCCCCCCCCTTCAGAGATTCTCAAAAGAAGCCGGAATGTAAGGAGCCACCCCCCCGGTATTGTTCTCAAAGAAGACTTAAATGGAGACAGTTCTCCCCCCCCATCTGCGTCAGAAAATCCACTTCCTCTGGGTGAGTTTCAGCCCCCCCAAATGTTGTTGCTCAAATTCCAGAGTGATGAAGATGTGTCCCCCCCCTGCTTCCTGTGGATCTCTGGCCAGCTGCCTCTTCAGCCCTCCCCCCCCCTTCGCTGAGCCTGCGCCCTGCCTGGAGTTAGGCTGCCGTTTCCTATCCTGTTTTCACAGATGGGGCCTTGGCCAGTCAGCCTGAGCCCCCCCCCCTGTGCTGATGCTGGGGGTGCAACCCAGTGAGAAGAGGCCCCCCCTTGAAGTCGGGCCTGGGTTCAAATCCTGATTCTGCTACAGCCCCCCCAGTGACCCTGGGCAAATAACTGAAGACTTCTGAGCCATTGCCCCCCCTGTAAAATGGATGGTAATACCTGCATCACAAGATTGCTGACCCCCCCCAATGATAATACATTTCCAATGTATGATTTAGGGCTAAGACCCCCCCCCTGCCACTTACAAGCTATGGAGTGTTAGGCAAGTTACTTCCCCCCCCTATGTGTCACCTCCTCCCTAAAGCGTGAAAATAGTAGAGCCCCCCCTCTAGGGCCATTGTGAGGATTACTGAATGCCTGACTCATGATGAATGCTCAGTGAATATTGGCCTCCAGCAACTGGGGTAAGCAAGGCCCCCCCTATAGTCCCTGCCCAGAGGGCCAGGGAGAGTCACACATTTCCCCCCCGTGAAGCCTGGATGAGAACCCGGCTCCCCGCATCCTAGTCCCAGGCTGCAAATCAAGCCTCTGGCCACAGCCTCCTTCTGGCTGGCTCCCTGGGCTCACTTCCAGGCCCATGGAGCTGCTGAATAGCGGACAGCCCATCCCAGGAGCCAGGCTGCTGGCTTTGCTCCCTTCCAGAGGGCCTCCCCCCCCTCTTCATGTCAGTCTGTGGCTTTGTCACTTGCCCCTGATCCCCCCCGCCCTCTCTGTGGGCAGTTTCCTCTCCCTACTCATGGCTGCCCCCCCCTTCCATGCCCAAACGAGTGTCAGCCTGCCCACTTGGCTGCCCCCCCTCAGAGTGGTATGGGACAGTGCAAGCAGCATTTTGGAGCCCCCCCCCTGGAAGAGGGCAGGCCTTGGCTATGCCTCTCAGCGATGCTCCCCCCCGGAGGGTGGTTAATACAAAGCCAGGGCTTAGCTACAAGTTCCCCCCCCTGAGGACACAGGAGCTAGAAGAAGTCAAGGAAAGGAGGACCCCCCCGCTCGGATTTGCAGAGCTAAAAGAGACTTCCTCTCCTCTCCCCCCCCTAGATAAGGAAAATCATGCTCATTTTGCCCAATGTTACATCCCCCCCTGTAGGAAAGATTGGGATGACAATCTAGTCTCTGGAGTGCCCCCCCCACTTTCCTTCCGGTACCCAAAGCTGCCCTCTCCTCCCACCCCCCCCCCTCAGTGTCTGGCAAGTCCCCTCCAACGCCAACATCACTGCCCCCCCGTGGTCCACCGCCCATGGGCCCTGGCTGGAGGAGGAGCCGGCATGAGCAGGAGTACCCACCTGCCCGAGAGAGACCTTCAGGAGAGCCCCCCCCGCCCTGTGGCCTTGTGTCCCTAGACACCTCCAGAAGCCTGCCCCCCCTGGTCATCCTTCATCCCCAAGACTTTCACCCCCATATAGCCCCCCCCCCCTAATTTGACCCAATCCCCCAGATTCTTTCACTCTGCTCCCCCCCACTTATGGTTTGTCATCAGTAAAATCTCCCCATACACTTGCCCCCCCCTTTGAACATTCCTTTCACCGTCCTGTTCTACTGGAAACCCCCCCCCCCCCCAGACACAGCTTCCTTGCAGCCACCTCCTGTCTTGGCCCCCCCTTCTTCTTCCACATCCCTCACACCAGTATGCCTGGAGGCGGCGAGTTGTTCTTCTTGCTTTCATGGCCACCTGTAGGTTTCTTCCCCCCCCCCCTCACCCTAAGTCTGCATCTCCTTTGCAGCTATGCCATCAGCCCCCCCCAGCCGCCATCCCTTCTAGTATTTACCATACTCTAGGCCACCCCCCCTCATTCACAGATTTTAGTACCTGGTCCATGGTCTTCCTCTCCCCCCCCACTCCTCCATGCTTTTCCTAGACCTTAACATTCATTCTTCCCCCCCGCACATGTTTCTGAGCATATAATATGTGCCAGGTACTGTTCCCCCCCTAGAGTTGATAGGTGTAGACCAGAGAGAAAATGTCCCTGCCCTCAGATGCTTACATTCTGATGGCAGCAAGGATAATTAACCAATGACCCCCCCCTATGTAAAATAATGTTAGGCAGAGGGGCCATGAAAGGAACCCCCCCATGAAGGGGTAGTGGCAGGATAGGGGAGCTGTTTAAGAGATGGTGGACAAGGAAGATCGTCCATGTAGATGTCCACCCAGCACCTCCCACTCTTGGTCTTTGGCCTCCTCACTCTCCACCCCTCACATCCAATTCCCCCCCAAACTCTAGCTTCAGAAAATACCCCAGTCTGGCCTTCTCACCCCCCCTCATTGCAAAGCGACTGACCCAGGCCAAGTCACTATTGCTCCCCCCCTGGTCCACTGCACTAGCTTCCCGACCATCTCCTGCCCCCACCCCCCCCTCCCTACAGTTTGTTCTCCCACAACAGCCTGAGGGAGGATGTTACTGCTGATTAAATCACCCTCTAACAGCTTCCTATTATCCTTTCCCCCCCTTTAATTTTTAAAATCCTTTTTAAAAAAATAACAAGGCTGCCCCCCCTGGCTCATGCCTATAATCCTAGCACTTTGAGAAGCCAAGGCCCCCCCATCACTCAAGCCTAGGAGTTTGGGGCTAGCCTGGGCAACACCCCCCCACCCCTGCTTCTACAAAAACAAACAAACAAACAAACAAACCCCCCCCCCTTAAAAATTAGCTGGGTACAGTAGTGCTTGCACCTATACCCCCCCTTACTTAGGAGGTTGAGGTAGGAGGATCACTTGAGCCTGGCCCCCCCAGGCTGCAGTGAGCTGTGACTGTGTCATGTCACTGCACTCCAGCCTAGGTGACAGAGCAAGATCCTGTCTCAAAATAAATAAATGAACCCCCCCATAAAGCAGCTTTATTGAGATGTAATTCCCATATCATATACCCCCCCCACTGAAAGCATACAATTCAATGGGGTTTTTTTTTTTTTTCCCCCCCTTTTTTTTTTTAGTCTATTTGCAGGGTTGTGCAAGCATCACCCCCCCCAATTTTAGAACATTTTAATCATCCTTCAAACGAAACCCACCCCCCCTTATTAGTCACTCCCCATTTCCTCCCAATCTCCCCAGCCCCCCCCCCCCAAGAGTCTGCTTTCCGTCTCTCTGGGTTTGTTTATTTTCCCCCCCTTGTAGAAATGGAAAAATGCAATATGTGGTTTTTCTGACCAGTTTCTTTTTCTCATTATTCTTAAGATAAACCTCAAACTCCCTGCCCCCCCCCTCCAGGCTCTCCATGGTCCAGCACCCCCTGGGCTCCCAGCTTTGCTGTCCCTGTCCCAGTTCCTCCAATGTCACTCACTGTCTTGAGCAGGCCCCTCTCCTCTCCTTCCCCTCAGGACCTTGACCCTTGCTTGTCCCCCCCCTGGAACTTTTCTTCCCAGATCTATGAATTGGATTCTGCTCCCCCCCTACCTCCTCAGAGAAGACTTTCCTCTTCTCCACCCTCCTCCCCCCCCCCCTGTGTCTCTTCCCCTGACTACTGGAAATGCGTATGTACCCCCCCGACATTGTGGTCTGCACTTTTATATGCCACCTGCTATGTTCCCCCCCCTTGTGCCCCCCACAGTTCACATGTTGAAATCTTCACCCATGAGGTGATGCTGTTTGGGAGGTGCTTAGGTCACGGGGGTGGGGCCCCCCCCCCGGCATTAGTGCCCTTACAAAAGAAGCACTGATAAAAATGACCCCCCCCAGTCCCCAGTGACACCCTTCCACCAGGTGAGGACAGTGAGAGGTGCGGTCTATGAGCCAGGAAACAGGCTCTCACCAGACACCGAACCCCCCCGCACCTCAATCTTGGACTTCCCACCCTCCAGAACAGTGAGCCCCCCCTTTCTGTTGTTTCTAAGCCACACAGTCTATGGTATTCTGCCCCCCCCGCCTGAAGGGACCAAGACACAGCCTCGCACCCCCAGGTACCAACTACACTCTCTTCCCTCAGGCTCTCCTCATAGACTGTCTTCCTACCCCCCCGTGCTCCCCCAGGAGAAAAAAACCCATTTATCAGCTGTAACCCCCCCTGCTCAAACACAAATAAAACATCATGGCCCGAAGGCACTCCCCCCCCAGCCATCTGTGCAGCCTCATAAGCAAAGCTGCAGTCAGTGCCCCCCCCTCTGTGTGCTCCAGGCTTACGTCTGGGCTTCACCTTCTTCCCCCCCTTCTTCTTTAGAGGCCTCATATTGCCTCCTTCCTTTCTATTTAAAAATATTAGCTTATCCCAATACTTTGGGAGGTGGAGGCGGGAGCCCCCCCTTAGGCCAGGAGTCAGAGACCCCCCTACCCCGGGGCAACACCCCCCCACACTGTCTTTACAAAAAGTGAAAAATTAGTAGGGTGTGGCCCCCCCTATCTGTAGTCTCAGCTAATCAGGAGGCTGAGGCAGCAGGATTGCTTGAGCCCAGGAGTTTGAGGCTGCAGTAAGCTATGATCACGCCCCCCCCCTCCAGCGTGGGTGACAGCGTGAGACCTTGACTCTAATAACCCCCCCAGTAAATACATAAATAAATAGCAGCCTGTTAGGGAAAACACCCCCCCGGTCTTTTCATACGTTGCTGGTGGGGATGAAAGCAGTGCACCCCCCCTGGAGGACAATTTGCAATCTCTCTCAATTACAAACCCTTGAACACATCCTACAGATGTACCTGCCCACGTCTGAAAGGACATACATGCCCCCCCCTGAGAGCAAAAGATTGGGGACCAGCCACCCAGTACTATCCCCCCCCGACTGATTTAGAACAAGGAACACTTTGCGGCGGTAAGAAACCCCCCCGAACCTTCTCTGTGTGGATATGGGACAATCTCCAGGATGTCCC